TCTGTGGTTTGATTCTACTGACAGAAACATCTTTCAGGACCTCATACACTTGTACAAACATGCTGTTTGCAAAAGGAGAAATATGGTCTTGCAGTAATTTAATACAGAGCTTAGTGTAAAGAAAAACAATGGAATGAGGGCAGAATTTTTTTTTGGTGAACTGAGATGAGCATGGAAAATGACTTTTGGTGAGATCATTCTCAGTTATCATGTGTTTTATGAAAGAAACACAAATGTCACAAGATGCATAGTAAGCATATATGATGCTCTCACAACTGAGTGTACAAGAAAGCTTCTTAAGACCCTGTAGCTATGGCTCTTGACCTTGTCTACAGAGAGAAACAATCTGTGCGGTGAACATGCCAAGTGAAGATATTCTCTCACTTTGACACAGAATCCCCACATGGAACCCATAGAAGTGTGATGCTGATTTTCAGCAACCTCTGTTGTCAGTCCTGAGAATGAGCCCTGACATATTTCCCGCTTTGCTCTGAGACTTGTGGAACATGTGCCAAGCGATGGCCAATGGTTGTCAAGACTCTGGCAGGTACACACAAATTACCAGCTCCTCTGGGACACAGCAAAGGCAGTACTCAGAGGCAAGTTTATAGCTCTGAGCTCCTACATCAACAAATTGGAGAGATCTGAAACTAGCAATTTAATGACACATCTAAACCTCCTTGAAAAAGAGCAGCAAGATAAACCCCAATCCAGTAGACGGAAAGAAATAATCAAAATTAAATCAGAATTAAATGAATTAGAATCCAAAAAAACTATAGAAAGAATCAACAAAACAAAGAGTTGGTTCTTCGAAAAACTTAACAAAATTGACAGACCCTTAGCAAATCTTATCAGAAAAAGAAGAGAGCACACCCAAATTAATAAACTCAGAGATGAGAATGGAAACATCACCACGGAAACAACCAAGATTCAGAACATTATAAGGGAATACTTCTCAAAACTTTATGCTAATAAGTTTGAGAACTTGACAGAAATGGACCTTTTCCTAGCAAATATTGACATGCCAAAACTAAACCAAGATGAGTTAAACCAGCTTAACAGGCCCATATCAAGCATTGAAATAGAAACAGCAATAAGAGACCTCCCAGCTAAGAAAAGTCCAGGACCAGATGGTTTTACAGCGGAATTTTACAAGGCCTTCAAAGCAGAGCTCACACCAATACTCCTCCAACTCTTCAATGAAATTGAAAGAGAAAGCTCACTACCGAACACATTCTATGAAGCCATCATAACCCTCATCCCAAAACCAGGCAGGGACTCATCAAAGAAAGAGAACTATAGACCCATTTCTTTGATGAACATTGATGCAAAACTTCTCAACAAAATTTTGGCCAATCGACTTCAACAATTCATCCAAAAAATCATACACCACGATCAAACAGGATTCATTTCAGGGATGCAAAGCTGGTTCAATATACTCAAATCAATTAATATTATTCATCACATCAACAGGAGCAAGAATAAGAACCACATGGTTATCTCAATAGATGCAGAAAAAGCATTCGACAAGATCCAACACCCCTTTATGATGAAGGTTTTGGAAAAATTAGGAATCCATGGAACATTCCTCAATACAATAAAGGCTGTATATGACAAACCTACAGCCAGCATTATACTCAATTGTGAAAAACTAAAGCCCTTTCCTCTTAATTCAGGAACGAGACAAGGATGCCCACTCTCTCCACTTCTCTTCAATCTAGTATTAGAATGCCTAGCTACAGCAATAAGACAAGATGCAGACATAAAGGGGATCCAAATAGGGAAAGAAGAAATAAAACTCTCCCTCTTTGCAGATGACATGATCTTGTATTTAAAGAATCCCATAGACTCCACTCCCAAATTACTCAAGCTGATTCAAAACTTCGGCAAAGTAGCAGGTTATAAAATTAACCCCCAAAAATCAATGGCTTTTCTGTATGCCAACAATGAGAAAAGTGTGGCTGAAATTAGGGAAGCAACTCCATTTGTAATAGCCCCACAAAAAATAAAATACCTAGGAATTAACTAAAGAAGTGAAGGACCTCTATGATGAAAACTTTAAAATCTTGAAAAAGGAAATCAACACAGAACTTAAAAAATGGCAAAACCTCCCATGCTCCTGGACTGGAAAGATCAACATCGTGAAAATGGCAATACTTCCCAAGGCTATCTACAAATTCAACGCAATACCTATCCAAATTCCAACCTCATTCTTCAAGGAAATAGAAGAGGCAATCCAAAAATTCATATGGAACAATAAAAGACCCCGAATAGCAAAAACGCTCCTGAATGGAAAGAACACTGCTGGAGGAATATCAATACCAAACTTCAAACTCTACTATAAAGCCATAGTAATCAAAACAGCTTGGTATTGGCATAAGAACAGACCTCAGGACCAATGGAATAGAATTGAAAACCCAGAAATGAACCTACAGACCTATAGCCATCTAATCTTCGATAAGGGAGCTAAAACAATAGAATGGAAGAAAGACAACCTCTTCAGTAAATGGTGCTGGCAAAATTGGTTAACTACATGTAGAAAACTTAAGCTAGATCCTTATATATCACCCTGCACCAGAATCAACTCCAAATGGATCAAAGACCTTGAACTCAAAGCAGACACTCTGAAAACATTACAGGATGGAATAGGAGAAACCCTAGGTCTCCTTGGCTCAGGCCGAAATTTTCTGAATAGAGACCCGGAAACACAACAAATCAAAGAAAGGTTGGACAAATGGGATTGCATAAAGTTGCAGAACTTCTGCAGGGCAAATGACATAGCTAGCAAGATCAATAGAAAGCCCACGGATTGGGAAAAGATCTTTACTAGCCATACAACGGACAAGGGTCTCATATCTAAAATATACTTGGAACTCAAAAAATTAAACCCCACAACAACAAATCCTCAAAGAAACAACTGCCCAATAAATAAGTGGGCGAAAGACTTAAAGAGAAACTTCTCTGAAGAAGAAAGAAGGATGGCCAATAGACACATGAAGAAATGTTCAACATCCCTAGCCATAAAAGAAATGCAAATCAAAACAACATTGAGATATCACCTCACTCCAGTTAGAACGGCAAAAATCAAGAACTCTAACAACAACAGATGCTGGAGGGGATGTGGACAGAAAGGAACCTTACTTCATTGTTGGTGGGAATGTAAACTTGTTCAACCACTTTGGAAAGCAGTATGGAGGTTCCTCAAAAGACTTCACATAGAGCTCCCCTATGACCCAGCAATCCCACTTTTGGGCATTTACCCAAATGTTTACAAACAAGACCACACTAAAGCTACCAGCACAACTATGTCTATTGCAGCATTATTTACCATAGCTAAGATATGGAACCAACCCAGATGCCCCTCAGTAGATGAATGGATCAAGAAAATGTGGTATATATACACAATGGAATTCTATGCCTCCATCAGAAAGAATGACATTGCCCCATTTGTTAGAAAATGGAAAAACTTGGAAAAAATTATATTAAGTGAAGTAAGCCAGGCCCAAAGAAACGTAGGTCCCATGATTTCCCTTATTTGTAATATCTAGTATATGTATGAGTCAAGTGGAAAAGGTCAGATAATGTGATGTCAGGAAAATGAACCCTTAGATATGTATTTTAATGTTTTTTTCTTTCATGCATGTGTTTCTAACACATTTATAAGATTATCTCTTTGTTGCTTTGTATGTCCCTCCCCCACAGTATAACCCCTGCTTTCACTATATTTGATGTCAGTATAACTTGTGGAGGAGATGGGGAAAAACCAGTTGTTTAAGGATACAGGTGGACCTGTTGCAACAATGAGAAGTACAAGTTGTCATGTCCAAAACGAGCTTTACAACGTTGGTGCGGGGGGGGGGGGGGGGGGGGGGGGAAGGAGAAGGATTGGGATTAGGGGGGGAGGGGGGAGGCTGGGAAGGGATGTGAAGGGTAAACAAAGGAGGAGGCTGCAATGCTTGGTAAGAAATGTACGCATTATCCTGCCCATGTAACTGTAACTCCTCTGTACAGTATGTTCACAAATAAAATTAAATTAAATTAAAAAAAAAAAAAAGACTCTGGCAGGTGAGGACAATCTGCAGCTACATGTCCAGACTGAGAAACCATGGCCAAGTTTCCACAAACCAGGCACTCTCAGCAATCCTGCTCAGAGTGCATAGACCAGGACAACCTCTAGCCATTCTGGGTGACAATGAAAGGACAGCCACCAAAAGGCATCCCCAAGAGCAGGTCCCCTGCGTCACTGCCAGAGAGCATGGCATCTGCATGAATGGGGGAGTCCTTGCTGGGGCTGTCAGCTGAAGATTCCCCAGGCCCCAGGGGCCTACACTTGACTTCCCCCAGAACCACACTCTGTGGAAGACCCTGGCTGCATGAGAACTTGTTCAGCCAAGCCATGGGCCTGTTGAGGACCATGGAAAGAAGCTCAGTAAAATAAAGGCCATCTCCAAGACTCAATCCCAGACAACCTAAGAAGGGCAAGGAAGTGAAAATCACACTTGTCCCCTACTAGATGTTTGTGGGTCACCTAGTGATGTGCACAAAAGGATCTCTTAAGATGGGTGAGGCCTTATGAGACGAATATAAACAAGGATCACAGTGAGATTCCAGTCTGCCTGCTCCCAGGAGCAATGGACTGATCCACATGGAAGAACTTGAGGAGCAAGGTGTGCACTGCAGATCCTGACAACACTACATCTTTCCCTGCTCACCCTCCTCATTCCGTGGACAGCCCAGACCCAGGCTCAGCTGTTTGAGGACACATTCCAAACAAACTATCTTTATTTACTCTGCACAATTACATAGCCCTCCAGCTAAATCTCCCTCCCCATCCTCCCCTTTACTCATTCCCCCTCTCCTCTTTCCCCTCAGTCCTACTACCCTCCCCCTTCCCCTGCTACCCTGAGGACCACTGGATCAGCACTGAGTGAGGAAGAGCTTTTGCTTAGTCGATTGCACAATGCAAGCCAGGTGAGATCTCACACAGGCCCCAACTGGCTTCAAGGATTTTTCTTCTTCCTCTTCTTCCTCTGGACCTCCAACACCTCATGCTTTCTCTTCTGAGGCTGTGAGGGCTGAACCAGCCCCAAAGACAAGTCCTGCTTTGCAGACTCCTCAAAGTGAGATCCTGGGCATGGATTCTTTACTGGGGTGCATGAGTCTCCAATGCGAGCCCTTTTCTTGGACTTGGCAGGTGGAGGGGGATCCAGGCTGCGGCCTCTTCTCTTGCACAGTGAAGGCCCGGGGGCTTGGTGTCCAGAGGACAGGAGGGTGGTGGGGGAACTGGGGCTCTGAGATAGTCCCCAGGGCAGGAGACAGTACTCAGAGCCCAGCAAGGAAGCCATGCTGGGGACACATTCCTTGCCCACCTTCCTGTCCCCTGCTCGCTTGCGTGGAGTGCCAGCAGGAGACTCTTCCATGTGATTCACGGCATCTCCAGACCCCACTCTCTGGGGATGGGATCCATGTCCTCGGGGACAAACAGTGGACAGGGTGGCTCCTACTGAAGGACACCCATGACCCCCCTGGAGAGCAGCAGAAGCAGGTGTCAGGTGCTCTGCATCTGTGCCACCATGGCTCTGATCATCACTGCAAACGATATGCAGAGTGCTGGTATCTGCACTGACTACTTGTTGGGGGCTCTGCTCATTTCTCTCTGCACCTTGGCAGATGGCCAACTCAGAAACACTTGAGGCTACTCTGGGTGCCCCAAGACGTTTCTCCACTATCTGTTGGAGGAAATACAGTTACTAGCTTTGCATCTGGCTGGGAAAGGCCCACAGTAGAGGGAACAACTTCAGGGTCACCTCTCTTGGTTGCAGACACACACACTTGTGCTCGTCAGCTCCCCATGGGTCTCTTTGCAGCTGTGCAAGCTCAGCCCCTCCCTGGCTCTCCTGGGTCCTTCCTTCTAGTCCACATCCACATCTACCATCAGGAATAACTTCCAAAGCCATGACTTCCCACAAGCCTAAGGCGTGCTCCTCCCCTTTTGGTTGTGCGACCTTTCTTCCCCTCCTGATCTACCTGCCTACAGTCTTTCCTGTGCCAACCTGCTTGGGGGTGAGTCCTTCTTCCTGTTCCAGCTCCTCAATTAGGGCCTCAAGATCCAGCTCTGGTTTGGAGGAAAGCAATTCTTCCAGGAATTTGGGATGAATGATGGCCTCCACCTGGAGCAGAAGGAAGAGGGTGTCAGTGTGTCTAGAAAAGAGAAATCTGTGCCAAGGGGACTTTGAGAACACAGGAAGGAATGACCTCCCCAACCTGGTCCACACACACACACACACACACACACATACCACACACACACATACACACACACACACACACACACACACACACACACACACACACATACACACACACACACACACTCCTGAGCATCCAGGGAATCAAGGGCCATTTCAAGGGAGAGGGAAAGTGGCAGAGAACAGGGCTGGAGCTGGAGCCCACATTTGACATGAAGTCCTCCTGGCAGCACAGCTGGTCAAGGAGGCTCAGGAGCTCTGGATCTGAGCACATGTCTTCCACATCCTGTTGTTCCATTCCCGCCTCTTTGGATGTTCCCCCAGAGTCCTGGGTGCACAATTGAGGAAGGCCCTCCAGCCAGTCCATGATGGCCATGTACTCCTCCACGGCTTCAGCTGGGATCTCCTCGGGTGCCTTGGTCTCTGGCGGCCTCTGACCTTTGGGTGCTGATGGCTTGGCAGGCTGAGCCTTGAGGCCAGTCTTGCTGGAGTTGCCCTCTAAGGGAGAGAAAACCAAGACAATGCATGAATGGGGGAATAAGCTTCACCCTGATATTGCTGAGCAGCAGAATTTAGTGGCACTACCTGGACCTAGCACTGGCACAGACACTGGAGCAGGAAGAGCCACTACAAAATATGGAACATGTAAGACAGGCATGTGCTACCACATTCAGATACAGTGTAATTCTGTCGCTCTCCCCATCCCATCCTGTTCCTGAGCAGGTATTGTCCACAGTGCTAGTATAGTGGAGAGAGGAGCTACAAATATAACCCGAATAATAACCAGTTTCATACTAACTACATCAGAAACCTCAGGCTCTAGAGGATGCTTCACTTCAATTACAAGAACAACTTCTTCATCCTTATAAAGAGCCCTGGAAGTGAGTAAATCCATCCAGAACTCCTGTGTCTACCCTATGCCATGGGCTCCAATAGAACATTGAAAGATTCTACCTGGCTGCTGGAGAATGTCAGGGGATGAGGGCCTTGGAGAGTCTGGCTTCAGTGGAATTGCAGGAGACTGGCCCTGGAAATGGATTAACCCCTGCCACTTTGAATTCTCCATTACCTCTGTAGCCTCAAATTCCATGAACCTAGGGAATGAGGGAGGCACAGAGTGAGTTGAGCGGGAGATGAGCCCAGCCCTAGTTCTACGCAGGAAGACATGGAAGATGTGTTTGGAGGTTGTTCTCTAGTCCCAGAAGGCTTCTCATAAAGGGTGAAAAGTACATGTCAGCAAGGGAATGAGTGACATTGTCCAAAATGAAATGTGCTCTTTACGTAACTTAGGTTACAGAACCCCTCTGTATATAATAGTAATAAATTAAAAAAAAGCAAAAGTCAGGAGACTTTAGATTTTCCATGACTTGCATGGAAACAAATGACCTAGGAAGGGCCTTTAGTGGCCTATCTTCTAGGCCTATTCTGTCCCTGCTCCTAACCACAGGAGGTGGCTGGCAGAAGCTGATCAGGATTGAGTGATGGAGAGAACAAAGATAGGAAGTTAAAACTTGGAGTTTCTAGAGCAAGAATGGGCCCTAAAACGTCATGAGCCATTGACTTCTGGAGCAATATCCCCGCTCCCTGACCCAAATTTGGAAGTCACCAATTGTTGGCAGATTATTCCTGCAGATGTGAATATTCACTTCCTGACAGGTATGGACCAGACATCAGTGAGGCTACAGTAGTTCGTGAGGACCCCACCAGAGCACATCCCATACCTCAGAGAGACTGTGCCACCCCTTGGCCAGAAAGCTGTCAGGAGAAGGGCATCTTCTGTGCATGTCCATGCCCTTCCTGGCAGTGGGAGTGATGAGCCCCACTGGGCCCAGGTGTGCAGTCTCTGTCCTCCTCCACCACACAAACCCCAGCTCCAGGGCCCCTCACTCACTTGGCCGCCATCTCGTGAAAGTTCATGCGCTCGTAATTGCTAATGCCTTCCCACTCCTGAAGGCCTCTCCACAGGCCCTCGTCCAGGGACATGTTGGGCTTGAGCCGGGCCAGGGACCGAAGCACTGGGCTGCAATTCATCAGGATCAGTCACAGCCCACAGCCCACAGCCCACAGGTGACCCTCCATTCCCAGTGGACCCAAACCCTGTGCTCCTCACCCCTGCTGCCTACATGTCCAGCTCCCATGTGGGCTCTTATCTCCAGGTCACCCTTATGGACCACAGAAATCAGTAGCAAAGGCACTGCTGGCCTTCCCCATGTTCCTGTGAGTGCTTTCCATTAGTGAACATTCTAGCCTGAAATACTCTGTTCTTCAGAATTGACATACTCTGAAGCCTTATTCCCCCAGTGAAGCTATTGGGAGACAGGGCCTTTGGCCAGCCTAGCTTAGGTACAGTTATGGAGATGGCATTCTTTGCCAGGACAGGACAGTGGCCTTGGAGAGACAGACAGGAAGAGCAGCCAAAGCTATCTCTCAGCCCTGCATGACACACACAAGGCAGCCATGAGGAGAGCCATCTCCAGACATGGAATCTGCCAGCCCCAGAGTGTGAGCTTTCCATCCTCCAGACTGTGAGCAAGGAATGGTTTCTATTGCCGGTTCCACAAGTATGGGTGAGGCCTGATCTGAGTGGCACATGCACAAAATGGTCTTGAGCCTAAAGACAAATTGTGGCTCCCTTCATAGCAGGTGCTCTTTGGGAATGTGGGCCTTTCTACATTGCTAATCCTTCTGGAAAAGAACGATGGCCACACTCACAGGGGTACCATGGTGCAAAGGGAAGGAGCTTTTCTTGCCCCTGTGTGACACTCCTATGTCTGTGTGTGGTTTTTCTCTAAAGGTATGATCAGCTTCAGGATTTCCCTGCCCTTGTGGTGTGGATTCCCATGCAGGAGCCCCAGCAGGAGATCTAGGTTCCCAGAGGAGACACTCACATGAAGAAGCAGGCAAGGGCTTCCCCATCAGGAGTCTGAGGAAGTTTCTTCGACACCAAGGCCTTCAATTGCTGCCAGCGCCGAAAGTTCTGATAGACACTGGGAGGTGGAGGCTTGGCCTGGGATGTGGGCTGACTGCCCTCTGCACAGGGCCTCTCTGGCCACGGTGCCTGCTGGCTCACTGGCGGCCTGATGGGAGCCTCCTGGGAAACTGGTGGTGTTGATCCCAGGGGTGGGCCCCAGGTCAAGCTGTCTTGGGCAGCCTGTCTACATCCAGTCATGGGGACACTCACTGGAGCACTGCTGGCAGCACCAGGCAAGAGGAGTGGAGCTGGGCCCATGGAACCCACATCCCCAGGAGGGACATTCCAGATGAGAGGGGCCTGAGTGACAATTACTTTTGGAGTGTGGAGGGGCACTGCTGGCCTTCCTCCTGTCCCCATTTCCACAATGACATGGGAGGAGCCTGCCCCACTGGATTTGCAGCTTCCCCCTGACACCAGAGATGTGCTGGGGAAAGCAGGCAGCACCAGAGGGCTCCCCTGAGGAGGGAGTGCAGCAGCCACTGTTGGAGGTGGACAGGAAGGCTGCTTCCTCAATGACCCTTGTGCTGGTTCTGGGGCGGCTGTGTGGAAGGGCAGCTCTGTGAGAGGAACTCTGGAAGCAACGGGGTTCAGGCTCAGGTAGGCTGCAGACGCTGGACACGCTGCTGGAGAGAGAACAGGGTTCATTGAAGAGGGACAGAGCACCGCAGAGGGGCTCCCTAGGACTTGGAAATACGGAGGAGGAAGGAGGAAGGACAGCAAGTCAGGGCTTGCAGTGGGAAATAGTGTTTCACAGATGTCCCCAAGTGAATGCCATGGTGTGTCTCTCTTTGAGGATTAATCCTGCCAAGGACTTGCTCCTGTTCTACAACACTCCTGCACCTGTGTGTGCTGCGATTAACCCCTCAGCTTCGTCTGCTTCTGTGGGTCTCCTTCAGACATCCTGGGCAGATAGCCCATGCCCCTGAAGCCCGTTTCCTAGAAAGGGGTTAAATTGCCCCTGTTTCGCAGCATGGTCCACTCAGCATGCTTGCTCTTGTGCAGGAGACCCTGTCCATCGGCAATGCTACCCCCCAGTCTTTTCTATGGAGTTATCATATTCAAAAGCTGCCCCTTTAGCTCCTCAGCCTTCCTTTTCCTGATGCTCTACATAAACCTCTCCTTTTGTCTCTCACCCACCACCAGAAACAAAAGCTCTGAATGAAATCTCTCTCACCTAGCAGCTTAGGAAGTCTAGAGTTATCCTCATAACACAACCCACAACCCACTTCACATTAGCACCTTCCTGGATTAACAGTAAGGGAAGAGGCTTCTCACCAGGCCTTTCCTATGTAATTGCTTGTCCCTTCCTTCACAGAACCTTTGGTGTGGCTGATATCTTGTCCTTGCACAGCCAGGCATGGCTGCAGAGGACCAGAATGCTCAGGGAATGGGGAGTAGTGAGTCAATAACGGGAGAGTCTAGAGATTTTCATAGTCATTTTGTCACATCAGAAATGTGTCACTTCTATTTTGCCCTCAGTTCTATCATGGATTGGGTAACAGTGATCCAGGCATGAAGCAGATACACAGGGTCAACAGTGGTCTAGAGTATAGCATGTTCTGAATGCCCTCATGTAGCATCTGTGAAGAAAATTAGGTGCTCAGGTCCTACACCTAACCAACAGGTCACCTGCTGTAACTTGAATGACATGAGTAACAGCAGAATGTCCTCCCCACTCAGTGGTGCTCCCTCTGACCTCTTCAGAAAGACAACCCCAGAATCTACAAAAGGAAAGTCGGCAGCAGTCCATATCAGTTCCCTATTCATGAAATACCAGATGGAGGAGATGGGCCCAGCCTTCATGTGCACACACAATTAAAGGGCAGAGATTGTTGACAAAACAGAAAATCGGAAGGCTTCTTTGTACCAAAGGGATGACAGTCCCCAAGTGTGTGCAGCCCAAGTTGTGTGTCAGTTGAAGTGTCCAGGCTGCCCTGTCCCTTTGCAATGAATGGCATGAGTTACCTGGACTAGCATAGAAGTCCCCTATGGATAGGAAGAGACCAGCAGGTCTGGCCTGTGGCCAGTGGAATGATCTGCAGCCTCGTCTAAGAGACCATATGCCTAGGGTCCTTATGATGACTCCCTTGGGAGCCATCTCCAAATTGTCATACTTTCCTGAGTCATCTAGATGATCTTGGGAAAGTTCAGTGCTATGCTGGTAAGCTACAGCTCAATAACTCAAGGTGGGAGCGTGGTGGCAAACAGAAACTCCAGAAACCTTTCAGGGATAGCTGGGGGTTAGAGGTTCTGGCCCTGCCCTTCAGGCTTACCTCCATCTGAAGCCATCCCCACAGGGTTGGACATCACCCACAGCTCTCTGGCAGCCTTCGAAGGCAGGAAAGTCAAGTGGAGAACCCAGAGAGCAACGTGGCTCCAGTTGCTTCTCAGGGTCCAACTACAACTGGGGAAAGTTTAAATGTAAATAGCAGTAGAATGTGGGGGTCAAGGCATTCTACAGTGGGGGAGGGGCAGAGACCCAGGAGGGCTGGGTGGGGAGTTGACAGACATTCCATTAAGGGCTGTGGCAGGTGGACCAGAACATCAGTTCCCTTTAAATAATAATACAGAGGCAAGATGACTGGTGGGTGCCCAGGCAACTTTAATATTCTCTCTCACATGCAGAGGCCAATGGTTTTGCTGATGTTTTCTTCCTTCATGTCTTCATCCATAAGCCTGGTTTTCTTTCCTTCATCTCACCCAATTTCCTTCTGCATAAGTAGATTCTTGAACCATTTCAATGGTTTCATAAGCTCGGTCTTTAAGCTCAGGTTTGCCAATGCATATGTCTATTTGCATGTGTACATCATGTGTTTATATAATTTGTATGTATATATAATGTGTATACATCGTCCATACCCATACATAAGTCTGGCTAAAGATGATTTCAAATATGAAATATCCATGGTAGTCTCTAGACTTCATAGCCATAGAGAAGGCTGTGAGAAATAGGGAGGCAGAAAACCTACTCTCGCCCTATGGTAAAGGTGCTTCATATTTCTCTTTTCATTTTTATGCAAACATTAGAAATTCTCTATGGCTTCTTTTGTCTGTGTAGTTTGAGAAGATCCAGGCTTCCACCCACCGATCCCTAGTATTCATTCCTCTGTGTCCTCCACATGGTAGTGGGTGCTGTCCCCTGGGATCCTGGCCACACTGCTCACTGGATTCCCAATGGCTTATCTCTATCACATCCACTTGTTCTTTTGAATCGGGTTTCTTTGTTGCGTGGGTGATATTAATGACTTGATGTCTTGTCTTTGGCATCAAGTTGTATTCTTTGTTGTTAGTTTTCACACTAAGATGATGGTAGAGCCACACAGATCCAGTAAGACACATAGGTGAAGCTTTGTGTTTTGATCTTTAGCTGAGCTAGTGCTTCTCTCATCATCTTCTGTCCTGAAGTGCTGCTGGGACAGCTAACCACACCTTTCACAGCCATATGACTTCGGGGTACATATTTGATGGTCTCTGCAGCAGGGAATCATACATCTCTATTTCTAAATATGTTTTGTACTTTTCTTCCTGTCATGTCTATACAGTGCCCATGTGTTCCTGTCATTGACACCTTTAAGGATAAAATAATTTTGTGGCCAGTTGCTAGTGACTTAGGCCTGTAGTCCAAACTAGTCAGGTGGCTGATATGTCTGGATCAAAGTTCAAAGCAATCCCAGGTAGAATATCCATGACATTCTAATCTCCAATAAACTACTGCAAAAAATGAGAACTGGGGCAGTGTCTAGTAGTAAAGCAAAAGACACTCACAGACAATACCCAGGCCCTAAGTTCCAGTCCTACTTCTGGCAAATAGAAAGGGGAAAAAAGATGATTTCTGTCCAAGTTTGGATTAATGTGAAGGTCTGATAATATTTCATGTAGGTTCACCCAGGTTACAGATTTTTGTTTCCATAGAACAGTAACTATGAATTGGAAGTGTGAATTTGTGATAAAGTTGGGTTTTAAGACTTGCCTAGCAATCAGTTAAGCACCAATTGTGAGTATATCTGAAGAGTAATGGTTTTAAGCAACTCTTAAAAATTTGTGTTCTCATTTGCATCTTGTGACAATTGCAGTTCTTCAATGTCCAAATCACAGGAATTTTAATACTCACAGTTTATGCCAAGACCAAAGACATTGCTAGAAAATGCACAATGAGACATAGGATGAGTTTGTGGAAGAATCCCAAAGGAAAGTTTGTGTTACATGATGGACTGCACTCCTTGCTGGCACCCTACAGATGGGAAGGGAAGAAAAGTCCAGAAGGACTGTTCCACTTGGTGGCCTTTCTTGGAAACAGAACACTGTTGGCTGAGATATTTTGACCAAAATGGATGTTGTATGAAGTATAACAGAGGCCAGTGGGAATGGAAGGCAGAGCATCTCAAGTCTGAAGCCCTGCGGTGGGGGTGGGGAGATTGTGAGGCTCCCTGGTTTGGGACACTTGTGTGGCTCCATGTCTCAATTCTTGTCCAATATCCTGTTTCCTATCACCTATATTTCTGAATGAGCCTGTGCATATTTCCATCAAACGTCTGCATGGTGTTTGGTCACAATGGCAGGCGTGAGGACACACTGCGGCTGCCCCTCTGCATACCTACATGTAAGCTTCAGTCTTCTGTCACAAGGAATAATTGCTTTCTTAATGTAGCCACCTTTCTGTTCTTTTTGGCCTCTTCCCTGTTCAAGTCTCCCTAGACCTTACTTGGGGCTAGAGATGTGCAGATATAATGAAATTATTCCAGCTATAAGTTGTGAAGACAGTGCACACAGAGGCAAGGACTCGAGCCATGTTGAGTGCCAGGAAGGAAACGCCAGTGACAATGCACTGGTGGAGAAGCATCACCGAGTTTCAGAAGACAGAGCCCCTCTGCCCTCTCAGAGGGGACTAGCGATAGTAAGAGGCTCTATTTTGTCCTTGGAGCTTTGCAGTGGGCATACCTTGCTGGGGATAGCTTGAGGATGTTGCTGCAGCCCGTGGAATGAGAAATCAGAGGAATCTGCAGGGCCCTGACAGGGGAGTGCTGGTGTTGAAAGGGTTAGTAACTCAGGACAGGTGTTTTTCTTTCAAGTTTCTGACTGACATTTTGCAGTATGTCTCACAGAGGGAGGGAGCGAGAGGGTAAAGGGGAGGGAAGGAAAGAGAGATTTGGAATGAGAGACAGCAATTAAAAGGTGCCCCATACCACATGAAACCAACCAACATTTGGCAAGCTTTCAAATTGAGGAAAGCTGTCACTAAACTGTGAGAGCATCCACAGTTACTGGGGAATCTCTGTGTGGAGGAGATGTACATAGCAGAGCAAAGCTGTAGTATGAAAAGCTCTAGGACACAGTGTGGCCCAGGTCTGAAACTCTGTGCCAGAGGGGTCTTAGGAGGAATTTGGAGTTGGGTGGTGCGCAGTGCAGAGGTCTCAGGTTGGTGAGTTTGGAAATCAGGAGTGTGCACGTGTGACCGGCTGTTTTAAGGAAGGGTGACAACCCACGTTCTGGGAGGGGCCTCCAGGTGAACTGTGACATGGCTCCACGAGGGCTGCGCATGCGCCTAAGGAGGCGCTCTGATGCTTCACCTTCAACTGTCAACTTCCTGGTGGAGATGCGCAGGCGCGAGCCTGGCCCCTCACTGGGGAACGTTATGTGCAGGCGCGAGCATGGATGATGTCATTCCGATGTAACAGCACGTGTAATATTACACGTGTAATAGCAGCTCAGGGCTCAGTCTTCCTGAGCTAGTGAGTGGGCTGCTGCAGTGTTCTGCCCTGGGGCTTTAGCATCCCGTGTCTGCGTGGTGTCAGCAGCCTGTGAGCCTTTAGCATCCCTGTCTGTGTCCATGGGTGGTGGCAGTAGCCTGTGTCCTGTGGGACTCGGTGTCCTTTGATCCCGGCCAGCTACCTGGCAGTTTGTGCACCATGGGTCCTGGCGAGTGCCATAGCCCTGCGATCTCATTTTTCGGTGGGATCGTTGGCCTTCTAGTAGAGGATGCAGGGTAATAATGTGTTGTAAGCCTGCAGGCATGGCCCCTCCAATATCTCTCACAGCCTCAAGAAGGGAGAAGCTTGAGGGAAATGTCTGCTGTGCTTGAAAATCCGTGTCCAGTTCTGCTAAACAGTAGCTCCTTTCATTGCACAGTGATAGGACTGACAGACCTGCTTGGTGTACTTATCCTTATGGAAGTGAGCACATCTATCAGCATCCAGATTCTCCCTGTAGTCATCAGTGCTCTTGATGCCATTGCAGGATTTCATAAGAGGCTCTAACTGAGACCGAAGTTGTCACAGCATGACTGCTTTTCGGTGGATGCAAGAGTGTGGTGAAAATCAAGCCTGGTGTGTAGTAGTTGATCAAAAGGATTGTGTGCAACTCATGTGATAGTTCTGTAATGTTTATTATGTATTCAGAGTCTTGGAGCATATTTGCCCATGTGAGGCCATGACCTGCTCCTTTGCAGGACAATGATTATATTACAATGTGTTATTCTTGACAACCTGGGACCCGTTACAATTCCCAGAACGTGGACGCTTTTCTGTATATGTTTTAGGACATTACTTGGGAAATTGTTTAACTTTATGTTTTTCAAATTGAGAGTGAAATAAAATGTGTGCATTTACATGTGTGACTGATGATGTGTCTGAAACTGTTCAGAATATGGTAAGTCACAGTAACAAGTGAATGTATTTATAGGATATGATATCCTATGTTTACAAGTTTACCTTTGAGATATGATGTGTGCAAGTCAGTTTTTAACATTTTGCCAGAATTTTTTTAATTCAGACTTTAGAGTTTATCATGTCAAACTTAGAAGAAATCTGTTTATATGTTTATGGATCTGATAAAGAAAATGTTCACTTTTCTGTGGATTTGAAATTGGTTTAAATTTTGGGTAAAATAGAGGAGGAATATTTGTATGTTCAGGAATGGCTACATGTTTGGTTTCTCTATGTTTTTACCAATTTTATTTCCCAGAGGAATTCTTATATCTCTTACTGTGTATTGAGAAGAAGAACACTGAGATTGTGTTTTTGTGTCTGTGTGTGTGTGTGCCTGTCAGTCTGTGGTAAATTTTCTAAGATGTGTCTTCAAAGTACGAGCCACTGGTGACCACACTTGTCACTGGTTCATGGACATAAGCTTTGGAGGATAGGAGCACTATATTATGTTTGGATCTTCAGTGTCTCACTGTCTCATTCATGCCTTCTTTTTGATCTTGCTTGGTTCTTAGGCAAAACTGTGATTGGCAGCTGTGGGAGCCAGCTAGGTAGAGCCTAGGGTGAGGGAATTAGCACACTGTAAGCAAGCCTCTTTAAGGGATG